GCTTCATGACGACAAAGCACCTGCTCATGCGTCATTTCTTGTGTAGAGTTTGGCAAAACATCAAATCACCCAGGTGACTCAGTGCCTCTACAGCTCATATTTGGTGCCCTGTGACTTAGGGCTTTTCCCCAAACAAATAGCACCTTTGAAAGGGAAGAGATTTCTGACCACTGTTGAGACTCAGGAAAATACAACAGGGCAGCTGATGGCAATTGGGAGAACTGTGTGAGGTCCCAAAATGCCTACTTTGAAGGAAACTGAGGCATCATTGTCCTATGTACAATGTTTCTTGTATCTTCTTCAATAAATGTCTCTTTTTCATATGACATGGCTGGATCCATTCTAGGCAGACCTTGTATATTCTGAAGGTTATAGCATCAGCTTTGCTGGTTGATTCTGGCTCAGAGTCCCTTGTGAGTGAGATTATTGGCCTGGTCTCCAGCCTCACCTCACCAGATCCTCTGCCAATCTCACTCATGCAAGGAGGCAGGAGGCCGCAGTTCTTCACCATGTGGGTCTCATAACATGGTCCTCAGAGTGAGTGAAGAGGGGAGAGACAACTCAAAGGGGAAGCCAAGATATCTTTATCGCATAATCTCAAAGGTGACAGATCATCAATTTTGGCACATTTTTTGATCATACAGACCAACCCCGATATGATTGAGAGGGGCCACACAAGGTAATGAATATCAGAAGGCAGGGATCATCAGAGTCCTCTCGGAGGTTTGCTAATACAGAGGTGAACTGAACACTTTATAGCACAAGGTCTTTGTGAATGTGCTGCACTCCCATACATACTTAAATTGTAGGTATGTTCTCAGCGAAGATTTTCATTTTCCCATAGGCCCTTGAATTGTTTGTTAAACTCATTCCAGTCTTTCATATCCAGCTGCTTCCCATCGTCAGCAGGATCTTTTTCACCTTGCTTTATCTAAGTAATCGTTGCACTCATACAGGGAGACTATTGATTTTTATGGCCATAATTTTTCAGCAGAGCTTAACTGGTGACAAGGCAGAAACTACTCTAGACTTTTACTGAGCCCTTGGATTGCAAAACTGAGACCAGATGAGATCCTAAATGTGCTCTTGGGAGAGCAGCTTCCTCAAGGGGACTATGTGTAGGGGAGGTGGGCAAAATGTTAAGAAGAGCCTTCCTGTGGCTGATTCTTATGTGGTGGCTGTGCCCCAGCGTTTCCAAGGCCGAGGTGATGGGGTTGGTTAGGGTGTAAGAGGACAGCCCTGGCAGGCAGCCTAGGCCAGTCCACCCAGTGCCCCACAGGTTCAGCCCATCTGCCCATGACCCCCAGGTTCACATCTCCAGCAGCCTTTCTTCAGAATCCTGTTCTGGATGCCTCCCCAGTATATGCACAGGCTTTAATCAATTCCACCTTGAAAGTTCCTTCACTCATTCTCTTTTCCAGTAGGTATTTATCTAGCACCTGCGACATGCCAAGAAGTGTTCTAGGCACCGAGGGCATCGGTGGAACACCTGCCCTGTGTTGCTCGGTATCTACTAAGGAGAGATAGACAAAAACACAAGTAAAATGATATTTTACAACACAGAATGATAAGGGAAAAATTGAGCAGACTAAGGAGGATTAGGTGTATAGAGGATCTAAAAGTTTGACTTGAAGAAGGTGACTGAGCCATGTGGGTTCCAGACAGAGGAAACAGCCAGTGGAAGCCCTGGGGAGGGAGGGTGCCTGATATGCCTGCAGATAGCCAAGGAGAACAGTATGGGGGGAGCCAGTTACGGAGGGAGAGTGGGGGAGGGGTAATCTAAGGAAGTGGGGGAGTGAAGCAGATTGTGAGCCCCTGTAAGGACTTGGGATTTGATTCTGAATAAAATGGGAGCCATTGCAAGGTTTTTTTTTAGCAGAAAATGATGTGATCTCTTTTAAGTTTTAAAAGGACTTTAGGTGGAAGCAGAGACACCTGATAGGAGACTCTGGGATAAGGAATATCTCCCAATTCTGCCCCCCTTGATTCCCACTGGCAACTCTGGTACGATACTTCTTCGGCCAAAGTTTCCTGACTGTTCTTCCTGTCTCCAGGGTTCTTTCAGTCTCCTCCCCAAGCCAGCACCAGAGCTGTCTGAGGATTGTCTCCAGCCTCCGGACTACTGATGATACGAATGGCTTATCCCCTCCAACAGTAGCCTCCCTGGCTAGGGAGGTCTGGCTTTGCCCGCCCCTGCCCTTCTCTGGGCCTGGGTGTGGGTGTGGACTAGGCTGTGCCTGCACCACCAGCACTGACTTCCAGAGGCCAATTTTTGGAGTCACATTTTTAAAGGACTTTTGAAATACATTTTATTTCAGTCATATGAATTATGTATCTTACTCATTGCATAAAAAATATGGACTTATTTAAAGAGGTCTCCCTCTCCCTTCCCAGAAGAAAGCAGAAAACCACGTGTGTTCTTCCATATTTTTTCCTTTGCTCAAAATAAACGCAGAATTTAAAAAATGGATTACACTGTGCACAATATTCTGCATGTTGCCTTTTCACTTTATGTGCCCTGGACATTTTTCCTTGCCAAAGCAGACCTATTGCCAGTCCCCAACCCTACAGAGGGGACATTCTGCTGGTTTCCAGTTATGTGCGAACATCCCTGCCCCAGAAGAAACCGTTTAGCATGCAAAATTAAATACATCGCATCCGGGCCGATGAAAAATGAAAACAAAATAAAACCAGGTGAAAGGAGACAGAAACCCGTGTCTGAATACCCCAGGGCCCCCGGCCTCGTTTTTAGTCATCGGGCACTCCCCCGACGGAACCGCCGCAGGCTCGTTCCGTGCGCGGTCCCTGCCACTGGGACCTGAGACTTTAACAGTCGCTGTGTCCCCTTCGCGGGGCTGGAGAGAGGTCCCCCTAGTCTGGGGCCCTGGCGCATCCCGACGCATCCCGGCCCGCTCAGCCGAGGTCTACTCACAGGCTGGCTGTCCCTCTTCTCGAGGACGCCAGGGGGCGCCCAAGGCCCGACCGAGCGGCCGATTCCGCCACTGGGCGGATTGGCGCGCGGGCGCCAGGCGGGAGGTGGCGCCAAGCCGGGCTGAGCCGCTCCCCGGCAGAGCCGCTGCCCACGGAGCCGCTCCCGCGGGTCTTTCCGGAAACCGGATCCAGCTGGCGCCCAGGCTGCGCTCTGGCCTGGCCTCCTGCCCCACTGACCTGGCAGTGCCGGGGAGCGCGCCCGCCGCATTAGGGCACAAAAAACGGTACCAGCGGAGGTTCCCGTCTGGTCACCGCCCACCCTCCCGCAAGGGGTCACCGCTGTGAGCGGGACACCACGGCCAGGACACAGGGCCGCTCGCCCGCGCGCAGCCTGCCCCTTCCGGCTGCTCCGGGCAGTGCTCTCCGCCCTCCTGTTCTTATGGAGACCCGGGGACCCAGAAACAAGGAGGCAGGCTGCCGGCAGCTTCCTTCGTGTCCTCTCCGGACTCAGGCGCCCACCCAGCCACGGTTAGGGCGCGGAAGAGAAGAGTTGTGGGGGGCGGGGGGCCTGGAGAAGGCTGTGGGACTCAGAACCTGGGGGGAGCAAAGGGAGGAGGATTGGGACAGCTGTAATAGAGTAACAATAAAACATTAGAAAAGAAGAACCTGAGGGGTCAGGACGCCGAGTGGGGGTAGTCGAAGCAAAGCGTGAGGTCGCGGGAGGGGAGGGGAAGGCAGTGGAGAGGGCAGGGAGGGGCACGGTCCGGGGCAGGACGCTGCGTGGCTGGAGCCTCTGTGCGGAAGCTCCGGAGTCTGTGTCACGCCGGGACACAGCAGCTTCACCTCGGGGAGGGGCAGCCTGGCTCTCCACATTTTTTTTTGGTGCTGTGGGCTTAAAACTCTTCCGAACCCCCTTAATTTTTCTTCCTGTTACCTGCGGTGCACCACTCTTGGGTGCCTGATTCACCTCGGCCCTCAAGGGGAGGAAGGGGACATGAAGATCACCAAGGCAACCAGGCCACGGTGCCAAACGCTGTTTATTTTCTCCCAGCTGGGGTAAATTTTTAAACCATCAAAAGATTCATAGTTGCCAGTGGATGTCAAATTAAAAAAAAATGGATAGAGTCCCAATGTGGCAAGTTATTGATTTGGTAGCATAGGTAAGTCAGCTAGGTCTCTGAGCCCCAATTTCCCTATCTGAATACAAGGGCAGCTGGCAGGAGCCCTGAGTACCTGTTAGGCCCCGCCTTTGGTCTCAACAGCTGCAGCTCCCATCCCAGTCTGTCCAGGGTGCTTCAGATTCTGGGCACAAAGAAGAAAGATGTGGTTTCATTCTTTTTGGTCATTTTCAGACACCTGCAACAAACAATGAAACGAGCAATGACAGCAACTAAAACTGAGGGTTAAACTGTCAACACATGTATAGCTTTAGAACCTCAATATAGGGAAAGGGGAGAGGATGTCTGTCTCCTTTGTGTCCTTGAATTGCATGATAAAGCCTCTTCAGTTGTCCCTCCTGGTTCCATTTTGTTTTCTTTCTTGCTGTAACGCAGCAGGAAGCCTTTTCCTCCCCTCCAGCAGAGTTTTAAAAGCATTACCTCAGAATGCCAAATGTCTGGAGAAAAAGACTGGAAATGTGGAGTGGGTGGAGGTAACGGCTGAGGAGCCTAGAAGCTGCTGGCTGGCTGCTCTGTCCTGTTTGAAATTGGCTCAAAAGACATGGAATTAGTAGGCAAAGCTGCCTCCTCCTCTTACTTGCAGAGGAGAGATCAGTTCCTGGTTGGCTGGGGCAGTGTCATTGATACAGCTGGTGTCATTGTTACCTTCCACTAACAGATCACTCAACACCTGTGGCCCAGGCAGGGCTGTGCCTGGGCATTGTCCTGCAGAGCTGGAGGCTTCGACCCTCTGCATTGTCCCTGAACCCCAGGGGAAGCCAAGATACAAGTGCTGCTGCGATGCAGTGCTTGGTGACCCAACAGGAGGACTAGATTGTTCCTGGTCCCTGCTTCTCCTTGTAGGGTTGCAGCTGCCTCTTGGCTCCCTGCTACCTAGCCCCTGTTGCTGTCTTGGGCAGAGGAGATGAGTTTGTCGCTTGCTGGGAGCTGAGGCAGGGTAACAATGCTGCACAGAGAAGGGACTCTTGGAGTGGCTTCGGAGTGAGACGTTGGGCGAGGAGGAGTAGCCTGTCTGGGTTTCCCTGTCTGGCTGCCCTTCTGGTGTGTGCATCCAGGTGGCATCATGCTGCAGCAGATCCCGCACGACATGTACATTGACCCTGAGCTCCTCACTGAGCTCAGTGATGTGCAGAAGCACATCCTTTTCTACAAAATTCGAGAGGAGCAGCTGAGGCGCTGGCGGGAGCACGAGGCTTGGGAGGCCCTGGCCCAGGCAGAGGGACTCAGGCCCCCGAAGGTCAAGCGAGGTATGTGCTAGGGAGTTACTGAGGGGCTGATTATTGATGCCAGGCTAGGCTCTTCTTTAGAATGGGCACTGGTGTGATGTGGGGTTGGAGCTTGAAACCCTTGTTCTGTGAGCTTCTGGTCCTATTAGTACAGCCCTTAATTTTTTGACCAGGTCTGCAGGGCCTCCAAGGGGGCTACCCAGGGACCGTGATGCTGTTGGGAAATGGGGACTGGCTTTGTCTTGTTGTGGGGAGCTCAGGCTCTGGGAGGACACCACTGGGCTCTCAGATTGTCTTTGACAAAGTTGGTGATTGCCTGGTGAAGAAGAAGCGTGTTCTTGACCCTCATCAGTGTTCTGGGACAGAGGCCAGGTGCAACCAAGATACGCAGTTGCCCCCTCCCTCGTGTGTGCAGCACAGTGGGTCTCAGCCAGGGCCAGCACTGGGCACTGTTCCCCTCCTCCCTGTCCTCGTGTGAGAGGGTGCTCCAGTGGATGTCTGGAGAGGGTGTATTGGGTAATGTCCTGCACAATGAGTAACCGGTCCCAAATGGCAGTAGCAAGCGCAGACAAGAAGCAAGGGCCCAACCTGCACTTCAGGTGGTTTACCTACTGTCCTGTGCCAGTCAAGCCAAGGGACTGCTGTGCCTGTGAATGAAAGCACACCAAAGCAGTCGGGCTGCTGAGGCTTGGGACAGGACCCAGGGTCCTGCCGGGGGTGGTCCTCTCTGTGGATGCTGTGCTTCAGAATTTGCAGAACCCATTCACCTTCTCTCTCGTTCACGCCCCACAAGCTTGCTTGCCTCCTCCAGAGTATGGCTCCCTGAGTATACTCTGTTCTCCAGAGTATGCAGACTTAATCTGATTAAAATTTCCAATTGGGAACAAAGTCCTGTTTCTGTCCTGGGCATGCTGACCTTTTGGGCACTTAGCTCCTGCTCTCCACTCCAGGGTCACTACTGGACAGTCCTTGCCATGTGCCATAGGCCACACTTGCACCTCTCTGGACATGCTCACTCTAGCCTCTGTCTTTGCACAAGTAGTTCTTATTGCAATGTCCCCCGGCCTTTATCTTCCTGACAAACTTGTTCAGGACTAGTCCCCTCCCTTGGAGTCTTTGAGGGGTGCTCCTGGCACAGTGAAGTACTTACTCCTCTGCAGCTGCTTGGCCTGTGGGACCCACCCCAGCCCTAGCACTTGCCACATTGTTATTGTCATTTGTCATTTGCTTGCCTCACTCCTCCAGGGGACTCAGAACCCCTGGACTGTGAGACCTTTCTCCATTCTGTCTTCCATCCCTGGGTCTAGCACAGAGCTAGCACAGTGTTAAATTCTCCTTTTGAATGAGACACAGCAGGACCCCAAAGAGGCAGGGCAAGGACTTGGCTGTGTATGGCTAGTGCTAAGGCTGGGTGGGGCCTTCTGGGCCAGACAGCTCTGGCAGCTGCATCACTAGCCAGTGAAAATGACAGGCTGCCTTGCCAGCCCCACCCGGCCTGAGCCCTAGGGCCTCGCATCCTCTGTTCAGTGGCTCTTCCGAGAGGAAGACAGATGCCTGAAAATTTAACTGCAAAAATATTTTTATGGCGATTTGTCACACATTTACATCTACATTTTCATGTATAAATTATACATTAAACTCATTTGGGTTTCTGGTGCAGACGACTCTTTTCCGGGTAATTAATTTTCTGATTTATAAAGAATGGGAAAAAAGGAGAAAACACACTAAGGAATGTGTGTATTCCAGGTCAGGATCCTGTTCAGATCTCAGCTCTTTGCTTCAGTTCTGCCCGTGAACTGTCTGGGCAGGTAAGGGGAAGCTCTGCAGGCTTGGCTGTGCCCCAAAGGCTGAAGAGCTTCTTGCTGCACACAGAGTGCCTGCTTTCTGTCCCTGGGTCATGTTGGTCATGACACAAGATTTCAGCAACCCTCCACCCAGTCAGTGAACGCCACATTTACCAAGTGCCCCGCCCCACCCCCCCGAATGCTCCCATAGGCCTGTGACCCCATTTCAGATGAAGCCATAGTTCATAGAAGTGACGCAGTCCATCCATAGTCATCTAGATACTAAGAAATGAAGTTGGGAAGCATATCCCATGACTTTGACCTTGGGTCCAGGGACCGACGTTTTTCTCTCCATTCACTTTTCAATAATGACTTTCAATTCACTTTTCAAGTTCAATAGATGATCCGTGCACTCATTCATTTCTTCATTTCCTCATTCGCTGTCTTACCCCGCACTGCTATGTGCTGGCTTTGGTGAACTGGACAGAGCTCCGGCAGATCACAGCCCACAGGAGTGCCCGAGCGAGGCTTGGTGCCGAGCAGCCACATGGTGGCTCAGGGCAGGAGTGTTTGGGGACAACCTCCCTTGGCTGGATACTTGCTCTTCCTCACCTTCCCAGGCCCTCCATTTCCAGTTTGTGCCCCTTCCCCACCAAGTTTGTCCTGAAGGAAGCACCTGCTGTGTCCGTTGAGCTGTGTGCCAGTCCCCTGGGATCCCTGAGCACCACGTAGTCCTGGTAAACCTGGAATGATGCCTTCCTCCCCCTGCCCATTGCCCCCGTCCTGCTTGTCCCCTAAGACCGCCATCCCACCCTCTTTCCTGGCAGACCTTCCCTAATTGTGTCTAGGGCTCACGCTAGAGGGCAGGATAGCGCAAGCTGTGCCTGTTGCTGCAAATCTCTGCTCTCCAGCTGTGTCTTGAGAGGGTGGGAGTAAGCACTGGTCATACAGAGCATTCCAGTTTACAGGACCTCGGGGGTTTTATTGATGCCAGAACACACATTTGAGGGCCACACACAGACATGAACTGGGATTAAATCGGTTATAGCTGGACTCCCCAAGAATGCAGGCCTGTCTTTTTTGTCTTCACTTTATATTTTGGTGAGAATCTTTTGATGTTCTACCCTGCTGTGAAAGACATACATCTTCAGCTTAAGTTGTTTTCTCATCTGCCATCATGTTTGCTGTTCAGTTACATTTCTGACCACATTTGATGTTCAACAGGAATTGGTGCTCTTAGGCTGACATGCTGGGAAGGCATGTAACATGTTCCTGCTAGATTTAAGTCAGTCCCCCCCACCCCTGCCCACATTATTATGACCTTTGCAATCTCTTTCCTTCCTAGTGGCCTTTTACCAATGCGAGAACCCACACACCATACCAAGAGTTGCAGTCTTCATACCCTCCAACTTCTTCTGTGTTTGCTCAGTTATCCCAGGTTCTTGGGGCTGGAGCTGGTTGTTGCCTGGGACACAGGACTCAGGACATGTGTTTGAACTGCTGTTGTGACCCTGCAAACTTCCCCACCTGGGCCTGTAACTTCTTCCATGACTGGCAGTTTGTGTCAGTGTTAAATTGGTTCCTCTGTGACCACCTCCTTATCCATCTGGACATCCTTTGCCTGGGAACCAGACATCTTTCCCCACCCACCTCCCCACTCTCTCCTTTAATGTGGCTGACCACAGCCATACCAAGCCTGCACATACAGGTAGCTGGCTTCTTGTCCTTTGTGTTTCTTGCAGCCAGCTATGTGTTAAAGTCTCTGTATGCCCCCTGTGCCAGCCCCTGGCTGCCCCTCACCCCAATCTATGGAGTGCTCTAAGTCCAGCTGGGTTCCAGCCCCACTGCCTCCATCCTGCACAGCTGGGGTCAGGAGGTGGTTCCCACCTCCTAGCCCCCTTCTCTCTACCAGCTCAGCCTGTGAAGCTCTCAGAAGCAGCCCTGCCCTGGGCCTGAGTTACTCTCCTTAGCATCCTCTCTGTGTTGAAGGATTTAGCTACTCCTGCTGCATGTCTGCCCAAGTTTAGGTGCCTCACCTGGGCCTGGTTCATGCCCTAATGAAGCTGTGGGACACAGTCCTTCTAGTCATTTGCCTTCTCTCTGTTTCCTGGGAACCATTCAGGAACCATGGCAACCCTGCCTGGTGCTCTGAGCCTTTCTAGCCTCAGTGTGTTCCCTTTCCCAGCACGGAGGTCCTGACCGTACTTGCCTGCAGACTCTCCTAATGCAGCCATGTTCTCACCCCTACAAACCTTTCTTCACACAGCAGCCAACTGCTTTTTTTAGTTTATATATATATATTTTTTTTTTAAAGGAAAGGAGGGAGAAAGAGAGGGAGAGAAACATCAATGTGTGAGAGATATATCAATTGGCTGCCTTTTGCATGGCCTTCAACTGCAGATCTGGACTGCAACTCAGACTGGGAACAGAACTGGTGACCTTTCAATTCACAGGGTCCATTGAGCCACACCAGCCAGGGTGCAAGTGCTCTTTTAATACATCAATTAGCTCATGCTTCTCCCTTTCTCGGTGGCTTCCCATGCACTCAGAGACAATACAAATACCTTTCACTGCCCTCTGCCCATTTTCCAACCTAATCTCCACCCTTTTGTGTTTCTCTGCTCTTTTCCCAAACCTTCAAGGGGCTGAGTCCATCCATCATTCATTTCTCAGTTAAATGTTGAGTTCTTCACCAACCACTCATTCTCAATGAGCTCCATCCCAATCTTTCTTTTACAACACCCTGCCCAATTTTCTTCATAGCACTCTCCACATCTTAGGGTATCTTTTTTTTTAAAACTTGTGGTACAATTCACAAAGCATAAAATTTACCATTTTAACCGTTAAAAGATATGCAATCCAGGACTATTTAATACATTTAAAATGTTGTGCAACTGCTACCTCCAACTTGTTCCAAAACATTTTTCCATTTTTCTTCTTCTTTTCTCTTCTCTTCTCTTCTCTTCTCTTCTCTTCTCTTCTCTTCTCTTCTCTTCTCTTCTCTTCTCTTCTCTTCCTTTCTCTTCTTTCCTTCTCTCTTTCCTTCCCCCTCCTCCCTCCCCCTCCTCTTTCTCTCTTTCTCTCTCTCTCTCTCTCTCTCTCTCTCTTTCTTTCTTTCTTTCTTTCTTTCTTTCTTTCTTTCTTTCTTATTGATTTTTAGAAAGAAAGGCAGGGGTTGGGGGGTTGGGAGAGAAAGAGAGAAACATCAATTTGTTATTCCACTTATTTATGCATTCA